ATAAGTTTACATAAAATTAAAATACATTAATTATAAGTCACAATAGCAGCATAGCACGTAGACTTTATTATAAAGTATATAATTTGGATTTTGCTTAGAAATTAAAATTAATTTGTCGGTAATTTATATATAAAAAAAATCAGGTTATGGCTGGAATGAAAAGGTGTTACCGCTATAAAAAAAAAAAACTTATCAGTCTCACAGCTATAATTGTAAGCTATCTTATTAGTAAAACATATGAATAAAATCAAGACAATATGATGGGTAGGTAATATCAACAAATTTTTCCGAGCGGATTTTCTACAGAGTAATTAATAATAGGTGTCGAAAAGATTGATCCTTGCTGGAGTTAGTAATGACTTGACATTATCATTTCTGAGCAGCAAGCCTATTTAAAACTCTGGTAATTGTCGCTTTTCCAGAGTACACAATTTCTTAGATATTCATTAAATAAATATTAAATAAGCTGTATTTTAATATGAAATAATTTAATATATTTTGATAAATCGTGAAGCATTTTGCTTCAGTGGACCGGTTAATGACTTGATTGACACTAGTTCGTGATAGCGTTATATATATGATATGCCAAAGAAAAATCAGGTGATAAGACATTGACCGTGCACGTGTCCTGCCAGCATACACTGAACTGCACTTGGAGAATTGATCCCATCTGTTAAACATTGTAACCCACAGTGATAACGGTTTGCAATAACACAATTGTTTTTCCAAACATTGTAATGTCCGAACCTCTTAAATGCATTTGAACCCGTGAGCCTAGTAACCGAAAAACTCGCCATAGTTGGAAGCTGGAACCTGGCGTATGTTTGGCTGAGGCTATGCACCAGAGGGCACAGGTCTTGCCAGACCTTGGCTATATTTTACACTCTCTTTAAATTTAAGCTTCCTCGGAAATACAGCCAGGTTAACTCTACACTCTTGAACTCTTGAGAGGATACGTACTTCATTGTGGCTCGAGTTGGAGTGGTGTGAGCAGGTTGAAAGGCGAGTTGGCGCGGGCGGGAACTGCTTCAAGCACTTGGCCGCTCTGAAGGAGCCAAGGATTTTTTTACGTTCTGCTCCATTACCGATCCTCCTGATTTGAAGAACATTCTGATTTATTGTAGACTATAAACGTGAAATATCAGCTAGTATGTTAGAAAAGAAAGCTAGTAATATACTTACCACTGGAGAATGGCATTGCTAACTGGGGAAGTAAAGCGGTGTTGTAAGCGAAAGGTATTTTTTTTTTTTAGACCACTTTTGTCTCGAGTCTTGAGCAATTTTGATTCACATTCACTTCAACGACCGAATAGATTCTGGCGCTCGAGTGTCGTATTGTGACATATTATGTTGCAACAGACGGCGTTTGCCGTGTGTTTATATCTCAAGGTGTCTCAACCTTCCATTGATGGAGGTAGGATGTCTTGAACTCCCTCGAAGGTTGTTGCTTACGGACCTAAGTGTTTACGTGGGGTGCTACAAGGCCAGGTGCTGCTTGTTGGGGCGTTTTGGGCGTCTCCAGTCTTTTACATACTATGCATGACGTTTGCAGCATCTGGGTAGTGACGGATCTTAGCTAACTGTCAGCATCAGTCATCCTCGTCTCTCCTTGTGGTGACCAACTCTAATGCTACAGGGAAGATGATAATCTCGAATTCTCCTTCCTTAAAATGCTGTGGTGTATTCTTGAACGTGTGACGTAATGTGTAACGTAAGCTCTTCAGTATTTGTAGCCTCCTAAACTAAGAATGGCAGCTCTTCATCTCCATTTGCAGGTAGCGTGAATGTAAAAGTTTTGGTAAGGACCACAACAGCGGGGGGGTCCCTCATGGCCAATAGACGTCTGGACCTGTCTGACTTGAAGCAAACTGAACTCCATTTGCTTGTGCTGTAGGTGGTGGAGCAAGTAATGGTGGCGGTGGCACAGGACTGGTGTGCCGGACACTAACGCGTATTTCCCGTCCCAGAGGTGGTCTTGGAACTCAAATCCCATCATAATAGCACTATTACTGAGGTGTGTAGGCGACAGCTGTGGCTGGAGAGCCTCCACCGACTCGCCACGCTGCTAAGCTCTCTTACCTCCTCCTTGTTCATTGCTCGCATTACCCGACTCGTATACGACACGGAGGCGGGATGATGGAACAAAATCGCGAGAGAGAGAGGAGAGAGAGAGAAAAAAGATGGAAAGGAAGGAAGGAAGGATGGGAGATGGGCCAGATAACGGTGATCTTGATATTTTTTTAATACGGCAAAAACCTTTGGAAGCAATCGACTGGGCTCTGTGACCCGGGTGTGGAGGAAACAAGGTCACGCTTGAAAGCCAGACCCCCCCCCCCTCTTCGGCCCCATAAATATGCATATGGCCAGCCAGCCACTCGGGGGAGGCATCCGGCTTCTCCCAGCCTTCTTCACTTCCACCTTCCCCTGCATTACCCCACTAGGCTCTCCTCTGTCCCCTCCCATCCTTGCCTCTCTCGGAGGTTAAGGTGGGGAATGGGAAGAGGGAGGTTAGGGTGGAAGAAGAGGAGAAGAGGGAGGTTAGAGTGGAAGAAGAGAAGAAGAGGGAAAAAGGTTATAAGGAGTGGTTGAGGGAGGCGAACAGTCCACCCAAGTCGGGCCAGAGTGGACTCCAGGATGGAGAGAGAGTATTGCGAATTAACTTGAGAGTTTAAACGTGAGTTAAGGTTGATGGGGGTTAATGGCACCAGAAGAGGCGGCGGCCACAGTGAAGTGAATGTGTGGAGCTGAGCTGCTCCTGCTCAAGTTGGCGAAATGGTACAACTCACGTTCACAGAGGGATTGAACCTCTGTTGGCGACCATATATATAAACGATTTAGACACAGGATTGAGCAACAGCATTTGCAGATTTTACTGGCTATACAAAAATAGGGCGAAAAATAAATTTTGAATTTAATTAAAACTGAATTTCCTCATAGTCATCAGTCTTGCAGCTTCATGGGGTTAGAGTATTTCTTAGGCGAGAGATTTGATCTTGGTGCTGGCAGGACAATTTTGTATTGTCCGAGAGCCCGACATCACACCCCTTGGGTTGACCGCTGTCTTGCCAACTCAGAATCTCCAGATATGCTAAATGTCAGTGTTGGCAGGTCTTGATAGTTGCAGTTTTCTTGACGGCTTTCGACGGGGACTGTTGCAGTGTGGCGTTTAACGAAACATCTTGGCAGAGTTCATGATCCCCCACTGGGCTTAAGAGTGCCTGGTAATGACGTTTACTCGTCCAGAAGAGACAACCGCTGAACACCTGGGTGTCTGGTTTACCAAAGCAACCCAAGCTGCCAAATAGTCTCTGCCTCTTTAAACTCTTGATATGTCAAACTTTTAGTTGACCTTTTAGTGGTAACAATGTTGACATTTTGGCGTGTTTGCCGGATGGAAATTCAACACAACTTGATAAGGCAGTGTCAACATGTCTCCGAAAGTGACTCGAATATGTTGGCAATACATCCGCCCGCCACGCCGCCCGCCACGCCGCCCGCCACGCCGCCCGCCACGCCAGACGATTTGCCCGTAATCACAATAGAATCATCCCCCCCCCCAATCCCTCTGCAGACCCTTCGGTTATGTGGAAGAACAGTCACAATTAACTGTGCGTTTAATCAGTATGGATTTGTAGAAATTAAACTACAGGCAAACTAGCCAGGCGAGGGAGAGCACACGCAGACTGTAGACGTCCCCCCCCTCCCCATTCCTATATTTATCATAAACGTACAGTATATAATAGCAACCAGACACATTTAATACAAAACTGGATTTCAAAGCTAACGGAGCACTCGGATGTAATGTTGCAGAGTATGTTTATAGTTCTTGTTCACAATAGTTTACATTTGGAGAATTTGTGGGATTCATTACCTGCAGCCACCTCCCATAGATATCGATATCCCAGATTAATTCTGGCAAATATATACAATATAACAGTGTCTAGTGGATGTTTTGTGCTGTCCGTATATATAGTTCTCGGTTGTAAACATATCGTAACTTCTTGTACTCGTGCTTTCTGCCCTTTGAGCGTCGGTGAAGCAGCGGAGTCGATGCTGTCTACTCGCCTATATCACCTTTGGCAGGGTCATGACGCTAGTGAGAAATGTACTCAATGCTTAAGATTCACTCGTGAAGGCTCTTTTTTTTTTGTATTAATTTTTATTAGATGTTATTAAATGCAAAGCTGAGGCGATGGCTGTAGGCGTAAAGGGGGCGGGGGTGGGGGGGGGGGGGAGGGGCGAGTTATGAAAGATTGATGAAGATTTTAAACCATTTAGAGGTGGCACGGGCATGAATAGCCCGTAAAGGGTCATGACCCAAGCTGACCGCTAAGTACCGGCGGCCGCATGCGCGCACACCTAGGCGAAAGCCAAATAGTCACTCATTTCCTTCCTTACAGAAAATCTCCCGCCTTTTTTTCCCCCAAACCAGGATTATATATATATATATATATATATATATATATATATATATATATATATATATATATATATATATATATATATATATATATATATATATATATATATATATATATATATATATATATATATATATATATATATATATATATATCATATATATATATATATATATATATATATATATATATATATATATATATATATTCATATTCATATTCACCTCATTTTGTCCGGTCGTGATGGTCAAGTGGATTAAGGCGTCTTGTACATACCAGTTGCGTTGCTTCTGGGAGTATGGGTTCGAGTCACTTCTGGGGTGTGAGTTTTCAGTTATATATATATATATATATACATATATATACATATATATATATATATATATATATATATATATATATATATATATATATATATATATATATATATATATATATATATATATATATATATAGAATGTTCACTTACATTATTTTTCCCAATATTTTTATTTAGTCCCATTTATATTGGAACGTTATTGGATTACTCCGAATGTAAAGTATATATATAATTGAACTGAGCAATGTCTTCTTCCACAGGTTGATTGAGACAGACTCCAAGTCCCTCAACTCACTCTCCACACAGTCTGTGGGGTCGGCCCCTGGCGCTGGTCACTCACGCAAGTCTTCGGACACTTCCCAGGTGGGTCTTGACCTCCTCTGTCTCCCTACTCCCTGTCCCTCTCATTCTTCCAGCATCCCAGCAGCTTCCTCTCACCCTCCAACAGCTTCCTATTACTCGACAAAAGTAAACCAAAAAAATGTTCCATGCTCCCAAGTCAAGTCTGGCCTCGAACCGGGCTTGGAGTAGAAGAACTCCCAGAACCCCATCAACCAGGTATCAACCAGGTATCAACCAGGTATCATGCTAGTCTCCATAGTTTTAACCCTGGCTGCCAACTGTGCAACCCTTCTGTCTCTCCTTCCATATTCCATTTTTTTACAGCGTAATATTTGCTTATATTTGTCTGGAGGGAACACACGACAAACGTTAAGTCATTTGCTGCTTGAGAGTCTTGTCTAAGTATACTATTTACGGTAATATTGGTGTAGGTTTTCCCCTGCTGCTGCTTATAGGCAGTTGTCGCTCATGTCATGCAAGTACAGTATTGCTGTTGACACAAGGTAAACCAAGTCATTGTGATAGCTGAAGTTCAAGCGTGGAACTTTGGGGGTTTTACCCCTGTGGGACCTGACTCTGCTCATCTCGGCTCCACACACTGCAGTGCACTCTCCCTCCCCCCACGCTGTGCAGTGCACTCTTCCCCCCTCCCCACACCCTGTGCAGTGCACTCCCCCCCACACCCTGTGCAGTGCACTCTCCCCCCCCACACCCTGTGCAGTGCACTCTCCCCCCCCCCCCACACCCTATGCAGTGCACTCTCCCCCCCACACCCTGTGCAGTGCACTCCCCCCCCACACCCTGTGCAGTGCACACACCCCCCCCCCTAATGTTGTACACCATTATTCTTGTGGCATTATCCATTTATTTTGGTCCTTGATGTGTTGAATTTACTTCCCACAATTTTAGAGGCTCTCCTTAAATTCGAGTCATATTTTGTCACTGATTCATACAACAAAATCCAGTACACAAGAAATTACATTTTAAGGATTACCCTTAACATACGTGTATTAAATATTTGTAATCTAGCTACTCGGTAACTGAATATTTTTGTTAATTTGTTTTTAATTTTTTAAGGTCACCACCAGTACAGTATTATTCTTTTTAATTTAGTTGATTTATTATAAACCCCCCATACCCTTCCTGGGGTGGTGGTGAAAAAGGTTAGCGACACATAATGGGCTCAGGAGCTGAACTCCAAAATTCATTTAGCTAAGCAAGTTAGTCATGATAAGATAGTTGGTTTCTTGAATTATTTTATCAAGATTGCGTTCGAGAACGACCACAAGCATGGTATCTAAGCAAAGTACCATCCATATGTGGTGAGCTAATACCGCAATTTTTTTTTAACACAATTTTTAATTGTGTACCATTTTCAGGACGACATTCGTTTAATTACATTGTTCCATCATTCGTGTATAACTGTTTGGACAGATCTCTGTGGCTTCAGGAGGTTCAAGTGGGTCTTCAGGAGGAGGCTCAACTGGGGGATCACAACTACAGGATCCAGAAGAGGATCTATGGGGGCTATGGGGACGGCTAGTCAACGATTGGGAAACATGGAACAAAAAGAAGAGCATGCAGATGAAGGTAAACTATTATTTCTTACCCATGGTCAGATCCTCAGTGGAATCTTAAGGTAACATTAGTACAAGGCGATGTGAATTGTGATCAAAATAGTGGGACTAGACATTTCTCGTCATAAAGTTGATTTTTCCCCCCATAACACTCTACATGCTGTTACCTTTATTATTTGCAGGAGTTGGTACGTAAAGGTATCCCCCATCATTTCCGAGGGATCACTTGGCAGCTTCTTTGCTCAGCACACAACTCTCCAGAGAAAGCCAAATATGCAGAATACCTCAGAACTACATCAGCGTGTGAGAAGGTTCGCTAACTCGCATTTTAGTTAACACACACACACGGTTGTGTGTGTGTGATTTGTCAATACCAATACCAATATAAGAGACTATATATATACAGTCTTGACTGTATATAGTCTCTTGCACCTATAATCCATTTCTAGCTTGGTAACCTATTTTGAATAGGTTTACTGTAAATGATGTCATTCACAGTATAATGGGAGAATTGAGAAATACATGTCAAACTTGTGTTGCTTGTAATGTGTGTTGTAATGAGAGCAAAAACTATGCATGGAAATAAAATAAAATTGGGGTCGAGTAATTAAATGTATAATTTGATAAGAATGCTGAAAGTGTTGGAGACTTGATACTTGATGAGAGTAGGTATAGCACTAACATAGTATGCTAGAGCAGGTGTGGTGTATTATGGTTACCGAGAGCCTAGGGACAGTGGATGTGAGGATTTTCTTGAGTGAAAGGAATGATTTTAAATTCATAGTGGTAACAAAGTATGAAATATGGAAATATGTGGATTTCTTATATAATATTGCCCAGTACAGTATTTGATTTAAATCTTGTTATACGAGTCGGTACAGTACTAAGAAACTATGAGGATTTGCTTCTAGGAAGAGTTTAGTGCAAATGGTACATTTTGGAGTGTTGGAAGTAATAAGATCACGGACCACTTTTAAAGTCTGGTGAATAAAACCATAGTGTGGAGAGGAAAGATAAGGCCATAAACATGAGAAAAGAACGAAGAGTGTATGACATATAAGGAGTGGTGGTGTTTAGAGCTGTATATGGACCAGAGTCCTTGGAGATAGCTCTGCACCTCTCACCAGGCTTATAAGAGTTTAGTATCGCCTACATACTGTATATCTATTCTTGTATTGGCATCTTTGGTGATATTTAGTGTCCTCTGATTATTCCGCACATTTGATGGTGCTACATAGCCTTCCCGGTTTGGTGCCTTCTTTTGATAATTACTTACACACTGTATATTATGATGGTCTTAGGTTACCATCCTCATGGTACCATTGTGGCCTCGTGCCTGATCTGTCTTCCTGATGCTATAGCACGAGGCCATCTCGAGCATCATAGTCTGGCTGATCAGGGATTTCTTGGAGGGGGGCTTATTTTTGCTTTTCCTTTTGATTACAGTTATTGAGTGACTACCTATAATTCTCTTCCCATTTGATGGATCACTAAGAGTCTTTGGCCATTGATATTTATGAAGTGACACACACTTACATTTCTTGCACCCTATATGCTTGACATTGAAGCTACTGTACTGTACATGTATTGGATATTGTATATAGGTAGGTGTATTTAACAGGTTCCTAAAACTGTGGTTTCTTTCTGCATACTAGAACAGTAATTGAATTTCTTGCATTTACATTTGAAGTTTGCTATGCTTCTTAAAAATGAAATATAGTACCTGTGCATATTCAAATCTAGTTTTGACGTATCAGAACACTACTAGTATATCGGAGGCACTTTCCCGAGTGGTGCTGTTGCTCCCTAAGGCAAAGTCAAAATGACCTCTGGTGGTGGTCTTGTGCAGTCTGATCTGGTTGACATTCTGCACTGGAGTAGCAAGAAACTTGTTTGAAACTGTCTTCATTGGGTCCTGCTGATGCTAGGGCGACATGAGATTGTTGACATAAAAGTATGGTATGAATAGAAGCTGTGGGGATGACGTGGCAGGAAGAACAGTAGTCGCACACTTCACAATCCTCACTCTCCGAAATCTGACCATGCCATAAAAGAAAGTCATGATGATGAAGAAAGCCTGCCCAAAGCAATACTGGTGGCACAGACTGAAAACTTTAAAAAGGTACCTGCAGGTTAGAATCCTGGTGGACTTAAAAGTTTGGAAGTCAGCATAGAACATAAAGAAGATTACCTTTAGGTTATAAAGTTTAAATCGTGACTCTACGAGTTTGCCTGGGTGTGATTCACCTTAAACCCCTTTGCAAAAACACCTGGAGGATATTTGCCTTCATGCATGGGACTGTTGTACAAGAATTCAGATAAGAGAATCAGAGGTGGAGTGTGTAGATGCCAGGAAATACCGTACAGTAGGGTGTGGATGATGTGGGTGTGGATCACGAATTCCTCTGAGCTTCAGTAGTAGTCAGGGGAAAGTCGAAAATTCCATTTTGGCAGCAGGATGCTGCTTCTGGAAACTTTCCTTAAGACTACTCAATAGCTCGGTCGATAGCTTCGGCCTCACACGAGTGGGGTTCACGGTTAGTCTCCTAGAACCCAGGTGAATAGAATACTGTACAGTAATTGCGTGCGCACACACCACGGGGGTAACCGTGCACCAACAGATGAAGTAACTAGACTCTAACGAAGATTGAAAGGTTCTTAACTTGAGCTACTCTTGACTAAGAATGAGAAGGTTGCGATTGAGATTTGCTAAGTCCTCACGATCAAGCATAATAAACTCGGCAGTGAAGCGAGCATGGAAACTCGTTAACCCAATTGCTTATTGCCAATCCCATGTGGAACAAAATCTCTAGGGAGGAGTGACCCAAAATTGTCACCCCTCAAATAAAAATGAAAAGAAAGTGGAGCATTTTATTTACCAAAATTTATCCAAAGTCCACCTTCTCTAGTAGCTTTGAAAGGGACAGGATGTTGATGGCTTGTCTAGGTCCCCCTTCATTATTCCTTAGGTTTCTTGGCCAAATTTTAAATAGGTAATGTCTTGACATTTACAACTTTGGCAGTTTATAAAGGACCCAAACATGCTCTGGAGGTAGAGGGAGGGAACAGTATGAAAAAATTGCCCTGTCAAGCTTAAAGAGCTTAGGACTAAAAGCAAGAGAAGCTGAAGCAGCTAAAAAAAAAAAAAAGTGTGAAAATCATTTAAGAACAGAAACGTGAAGATTTGAAAGCTGATAAATAACAAAATAACATTAAATAGCATGTGAGGCCATCTCACACTGGCAATGAGAGAAAATTAAAAAGTGATGAAAGATAATCACTGCCACTGACTCTTCATAAAAATGGTTTTAGCGCTGTCATAGAAATTCTATAGAAATTCCACACAAGATCACCATGCCTTACAAGAGGATGATCACTACTGCTGGAAGACATGCACCAAGCATTACAGATGAGGTAACTAATCGCTGGTTGATGTAAATTCAGACACACTATGGACTTGTCTACACACAAGAAATATTTACTCGTATCATAAGCCCACTGTACTAATAAAAGTTTCTGAAGATTATACAAGCCACTTGAATGAAAGTACTGTAATTGGGTTGTTCACAACCAGCAGAAAAGGCCACTCAGGATGTAATGTGATTAGGTTGGGCTGGAAGGCTGTGTTGGGATGTCAGGTTTATCACCAGGTGGCAGTCAATGCAACAGTAGAGATCTGCAGAGTGGTTATGTAGGCACCCAATGCGCAGCTTGGTAATCAGTAATGTTGCCGTGTTATATCTCAAAAGGCTTTTAGAGTTGTGTAAAGTACTGTACAGTACTGTACTTTTTTTCTTTATATTTTTGTTGTATTGAATGTTTTTCAGTGTCTCCCTAGCACAAGCATGACTCGACAGCGACAGTTTCAAAAATTGCATGCCAGTGTGGATGTTGACCTGCCCTGACTGGAGTAAAACAACTAGAGGGCAATAGGATTTTGCCTAAGGGAGCAGTTGAATGTGATAACTCAGAATTTTTTGCACTTTTATGCTATCAGGGCAGATTCACTGTGCTGCATCTTGCTATGGGCACGCTTTTGGCAATTTGTGAGGCAATAGTTTTTTTAATTCAAAAAAGGTACAATGATTAAATGGTGTTTTGCAGGTAATTCGTCGGGACATTGCTCGCACTTATCCTGAGCATGACTTTTTCAAGGAGAAGGATGGTTTGGGACAAGAGAGTCTGTTTAATGTTATGAAAGCATACTCCCTGCATGACCGAGAAGTTGGTTACTGCCAAGGTTCTGCTTTCATTGTTGGACTTCTACTGATGCAGGTAATCGCGTACATTTTGCATTATCGGTCAAATGAATCTTTCTGTACATTATATATCAAAAGCGGTGAAAATACCGTACTTTATTAACTCGTTAATAAATTTCAGATGCCAGAGGAGGAAGCCTTTGCCGTTTTAGTCAAACTAATGCAGGACTACCGGATGCGCGAGATGTTCAAACCCTCGATGGCAGAATTGGGGCTGTGCATGTACCAGTTGGAGTGTCTCATCCAGGAACACTTACCAGACCTTCATGCTCACTTTACCTCGCAGAGCTTTCACACATCAATGTGAGTCAAACTTTAAATACAGATATAGATATTAATGACTGTGTGCATCTGTTAAGAATTCATTGTATTTACAGTACAGTGCTGTATTGTACTGTGCTAAATTGATACAATTGATATCACTGTTTTCAAGAGTTTATCTGCAATTTACTCAAGTTGAAGAGAAGATGGTAGAAATTTATCTAGAACCAAGTGACTTGTATTCTTTTGTATACCATACATAGCTTTACAAGATTTGATTTTTTTTTTTTACTTAATGAAAATATATAAATGTGTTATGTAATATAAGCACAGTACAGTAGTTGTATTTTCTTCGTACAGGTACGCTTCATCATGGTTCTTGACGTTGTTCTCCACCACGCTGCCTCAGCCTCTTGCGTGCCGTGTAATGGACTGCTTCTTGGTGGATGGTTTAGAAGTTATATTCAGGACGGCCCTAGCCTGCCTCACACTAGGGAAAGAAGACCTCTTTTGTATGGACATGGAGGGAATGCTCAAGGTGAAGATTGGTGAACTATAACTATTTTGATATTCTATAGTAACTAATTTGTAATTAAGATTACATTCTTATAATGTTAAAGGTAGAGATGTTTATACTATAGGTTTCAAATGTTTAAGCTGCTGCTATGATACACTTATTTGTAACTATAGAATTGGGTGTCAGTTAAGGGTAGGGTTGATCAAATGTAATACAAGTGTATATATTGGTATTGAATAGTATCGTCTTTAAACAGTAATCTCCCTGTAAGAAGTACAGCAACAAAAGATCTTTAAAGGTCATGTATACACAGTACTGTTCATTGTTTACATTTATATCTGTCTTGGCATGTCACAGTGGTGGATTTTATAACCATTGGTCTCTTACTTTGAATAATACAGTAGTGATGCTATTCTTAGTCATACTGTCGCAGTGGTCTGGGCTATCAATGCACCATTAATGCCATGTGCTCTTGTATCGGTAATGTTTGCTTATCCTCTGTCTATTTCTTTACATCTTCGAAAATGATGTCGCTATTTCAAATTCCAATACGGGCTCACCATAGCCCATGCTACCTGGAACGTTTGTTCAGAGTAGCTGAATCTAAAAGAACAAACTAACATATCATTATTTACCATTGCTTAATTCAGCCATGATTTGTCATTATCTGTAGCAATTTCTGTTAAGAAGTGCTCTTAGTAAATAACACTCATTTCTGGCTTTTAATTATTTTTCAGTATTTTCAACGAGATTTGCCAGCTAAGTTTGAAGGCGATCCTGAAGGCTACTTTTCTCTGGCATACTCTCTACGGTATAATGTTAAGAAAATGAAGAAAATGGAGAAGGAATACACAGCAATGAAGACTAAAGAGCAAGAGGAATTGGTTGAGCTAAAAGTACATATGAATTTTTGTTTAACATTGTAATGAAAGTGATCATTGTTAGAATGTAAGAGCTTTCCTAGTCTCTTAATTATTATTTTCTGCAGGAAAGGACACTAGGTAATTGTTTGTATCAGTGTAATCTTAAAGTTTAAAACTAGTGATTGAGGTACTTATATACAAAGAATTTACAGTAATTTGGAAGTTAAGTGTGGTCAACTTCATTTAAAAAAAAAGACACTATAGTTAACATGTTGCCAAGTACTGTACTTGCTGTTCAAACTTAGGTGAAGGTTACTGTGTCAAACTAATGTGGAAGATATGCTAATAGGATATGATACAGTATTTATATTTATGAATTTATGAATCGACTGGTAAATGTTGCTTAATTTGCTTTCAAGTCAACTCATACTACTAACACTGAGATGGCTAATATACAAAATGAATATTGTTGCTTATGTGCAGGGAGTAGTACAATCTACCTTGGATTTTCTTTGGTAATATATGATCATGAAAATTTACCCAAATTTTACAATTAAATTATTTCCAACTTCAGAGACTACGGACAGAAAATAGATTACTCCGTCAAAGAATAGACTGTTTGGAGGCGGAATCTTCTGCTCTTGCTGACAGACTCATCCAGGGTCAAGTATCACGAGCTGAGGAGGCAGAACATAATTTTGCCATTAAGGTATAAATGGAAAGTTTTTAAAATATGCTTAATATGTTCTTGTATCCAAAGTATTTATTGAAATGTACAATTGAAATTGATTATTGAAATGTATTCCTGTACTGTTATTGTAGCGAGAGCTTGCCGCTCTGAGGCAACATGATGGGGAAACGATGGAAGCTTTAATGGATGCTCGAGATAAGATCCGGAAATTAACTGGAATGATCGAAGAGGTATGTACATCCTGATATGTTGTTTGTTTATATACTGAATACAATATATTAGGTTTCCATAAATTGCTATGGGACAGAAAACTGTCCTGTAAACTTTGAAGTGCTGTTATGTAATAAAAATTATCTTTGGTAATACAGTACTGTATTGCAAGGTACCAGTAATGTCAAGCTGAGATATGAAAGCTCAATAAATGGAAATATTTGTTTTCAGAATTGCTCGTCTCGTGAGTCATCTCTAGCAGAACTTATGGTCAAAGAGGAGGAACTAAGACAAAAGGAAGAGTTGGTTAAATGTCTTCAAGAGGAGCTAGTTCAGGTAAGGTTCCTTTATGTTGTGAAAACTAATGCAGTATAATAATTGTTTTAATACTTTTAACTCTGATGAAGAGAGAATAAACTATGTGAGAAGACTAATGTAGTGGCATGAAGTGTGATTATATCCTTGGGTGCAAGTTTTAAGTGTGGCACCTGCCTTGCTATCATCAGTAGTTGTGACTGTGCTCATGTCAATAACATAGATGAAAATGACATGAAAAGAAGTAAAAAGCAGAACAGAATGTTTAAGAGGAGAGATATATTTATAATATAGAGAGCAGTATATAGTAGAAGAGTGTACCAATAAACTGGTGATAAGAGAGTATTAAAGTGCATTTGAGGAGAGGAAGACCGTAGAGATGATGGGAGGACATGGCGAGTATGGTGCTTGGTTTATCTCGGGTGCTGCCATCTCAGTGTGGATAATATAATTAATGGACCAGTGCTTTTTTCTTTAATGTTCATGAAACTTTCCAAAAAATGTTGTGCCCCTTTTTAATCTGGTCTTGTTGCCTCTTCCATTTGAAAGTGCAAAACAGGCTTATTCCAACAAAAATGATGAATCCATGTCTTTTGTAGACTGATCGATAAGATTTACAATATACTAATGTGCTATATGAAAAACACAAGAAGTACAAAATTAAACCCAAAATATTTGTGTATAGGTTAGATTGAAAACAGCCGAGGCCGAGGCAACTATTAGAGATCTTAGAGCCAGGATCCAGGAGCTAGAAGAGGAGCAAAAGAAATTGAGAGAGGCAACTCCAGAACATTCTGTAGCTCATTTACAAGAGGAATTGATTGCCGTACGATTAAGGGAGGCAGAAGCCAACTTGGCCCTCAAAGACCTGAGACACAGAGTTCAAGAATTAACACAACTTTGGACAAAGCATGTTCAGGTAAGACTATGGTTTTCTCTGTGTAGACATTTTTATTCTGATATCGGTTTGAAAGAATGATTTTCATTACAAATTAATAAGAAGCAATATTAGTCTTTGAATATTGGTAACAGTATTTACATGATTTACACGAGTACATGATTTATTTTTCAGATATTAATTTCACTACATTTACTGTACTGTATATACATATTAATAGTTGCCTTTATCTGTACTTCAGCTAACATCATTCTTGTTTTAAATTTTGCTCGGAATTGGTCCAGTCTGGTTCTAGATCTTGATAAATATTGTTTTGTCTTGGAAAGTAGAATAAAATTGACTGGACAATTGAATGTAGCCTTGGCTTGTGCACCCCAACAGCCTGTTGTTGCCTAGGTTATATGGCTTTATGAAAATATAATATTCACTCTTGCTCATACTCTTGTGGTACCAGTAATAAATGGGTAAATTATTTTAATAGTGTATATATTTTTTGACCTACTTGAACATCAGTCAGTCATATGCCTTTAAAATACTGTATTTGTGTGGGACGAGTGGGATTTCACTTGGGTTCGTATCCTGGCCGGGGAGGACTTATTGGGCTCAAATCCTTAACTGTAGCCTCTGTTTACCCAACAGTAAAATGAGAACCAGTACCTGGTTGTTAAACGATTTGGCGGGGTCATATTCCAGGGAATATTAGGATTAAGGACCTGCCCGAAATGCTGTGTGTGCTAGTGGCTGTACAAGAATGTAAGAACTCTTGTACATAAAAAAGTGAAATGTGGAAAGAGTCATGAATTTGTAACTAATTGTAACTAATTTAGTAGGTTTTCCTTCTACGAACTTCAAAACGTGTATCTATAGGGTATGTATTATCATTCAGGATCAGCATGGAGACAAGAGCGAGGCAGCCAAGCCAGACGTAACGAGCACACCAAGCAAAAAGCTTGGTCTCTTCTGGGACAGGTCACATGAAGCTGCCAAGCTGGAGGAGGAGCTCATGACCACCAAATTACATGAGACTGCTGCTGTGGCAGAGCTCAAGGAGGCCAGATTAAAGGTGACCATAATGTTTTTAAGTACAGTACTATATTATTATTGGTTATGAGGAGATTGCCAATTTAAATTTTTACAATTTTAGGATTCCAGAATTGTATTTAAACTTTCCAAATGTAGACATTTTGCATGTTTTATATTTAGATAATTATAAAATGTGAATTACTCAATGTAACAAAACTTGGTTAATGATAAAAAGAAATAAAGCCTATTCCCTGTTTAAATTTTCTGAGTTTTGTAATAGTTTTCATGGACACTTCATCCTGAAATTTCCATTCCCAATTTAAATATATTTTCAGTCAATGTGCAGGAGAAATCGCATTTAAGTGCTTCAATTATTTGGATAATTTGTTCTTTCAGTTTTCTAATCTATATTGAATGTACATGACTCAAGGGTATTTCATGGATTTCCAGGTTATGGAGCTTGAAACGGCAGTACAAGTGTCAACTAACCAGATGAAGCGGCAAGAGGAGGAGAACAAGCGGTTGCAAGAAGCTCTGGATGCTGCCGAGGCCAATATTCGCACAATGCAGTCTCAGCTGGGTGATCACAAGAGAAAATACACTGACCTCGAAAGCCAGGTGTGTACAAAAATTTGATTACTGTATAGTATGTCTCTGTAACACTTACACTGTTCAAGTTGCTATATGGGATTTTTTTTTTAACAACTTTCAAGAGGGTTAATTTGCTTCTCGAATACTTTAAATTTCATTTTGCCCAATTTGAAATGTTTAGTATGTAAGCAGGGCATCTATTTTAACCAATTTAAAATATGCAAGTTGTATAATTGGTAATAATTTTCACATGTTTAGAATATGCATAAAATTTGTTTAATTACTGCTTTTTTCATGCTTCCTCGTTTACATTTTTAACCAAACTGCATTTTCAGATGAAGGAGGAAAAGATGCTGGCAAGAATTCGTGAAGCCGAGAAATCTCAGAGCTTAGCTGAGCTCACACAGAAAATATCCTCATTAGAATATAAGGTAAATTAAATAAATCCCTTAATCACATAGTTATTCCTGTCTACCAGGTGAAAATGCCTACCATGTGATAAAAGTATTACTTAAAATAATTGTTTTATAAAGTACTGTACTGTATTATACAACATAAAGAAAGTATTGTAACAAAATTTAAATCAATGCATTTAAACCATAATACAGTAATGGTAATAAACTATTGCACTTTAAATGTGAATTCTTCCAGAACCAGGAATTGGTCACAGAAGGTGAAGTGTCTCGGGTTGGTGGCAGTGACAGTGATCAAGTTCCCCGACTCCAAGATAAGGTGGCTGAACTTCAGTCAGAGGTAAGGTTAATGATAGAATTAGAATCAAGATTTTGGTAATTGTTACAAGACTGCATTCTATAATTTTAATAAGGAGTGCTTAAAAATTGTGTTATCAATAATAAAATGTTAAACGCCTGGGAAATAAGTACGAAAGCCGTAATATTGCTCCACGAGAATGTTTACTGAAATAGGTAATTGCTCAGCACTTAATGTTAATATTCCAGAAGTTCCCTGTAAAGGGTCTGATGAAATGGAATGGTTGAAAATTGCACAATGCACCCAAATTTTTCAGTTAATTTTGATTCTTGTATTGAAAAATATTGCTACAAAACTTCACAATGATAAATTTTGTTAAAAACAAAATACATACTGTGTATGTACATACTGTAGAATTAAAGAAAATGCAAGAATCATTATTGACTTGCCATTTGTCTCACATTATCAAGCTTTATGCAGCCAAAATTTGCCCACTAACACATGCTTAATATATAACAGCTTTGATGCATCTCCATATTGCCACAGTATACACTACAAGTGATTCAACAAATGTTTGTAGCATTCAGAACATTTTTGACAAAAATATCATCAAAATTTGCATTCATAGTGAGAAATCAAATAGAATAGTTTCTCTTAAGCCAATTAGCCTTGTATGCAACACCTGTATATGGGATCTTCTAATCTTGCTTCCTTACAATAATGGACAATAATAATGCAGCAAACACTTCAGATATTAGAGATTACTACAAAGCACATGCTTAAAATTGATGTACTGTATTTCTCGTAACATACTTGTAGAAAAAAACATATATAGATATATGTATTGGATCTGTATTAACAATGTCCATGAAGTCAGTCACTCTTCATTTTTTAGTCCACTCTCCCCTTCAGATTTTTAGTCCACTCTCCCCATTGCCCTTTCTAAAGCCAGTCACTTCCCTTCTGTGGTAAAAGTATAATGTCCCATTGCCCTCAGTTGGGGGGGAAGGGAATACAAATGAAAACATTTGCTTTTAATTATTTACCTTTGTTCACTCATTTTATTTAATACTGTTCCCAGCTTTTCCTCCATTATTTTAATGTAAAATGATTCAAGTACCTGGCTGTTTTTATCCAATGCACTCTTCGGAATATGACTACTTATAACATTCACCCCCCACGTTAAGAAGAGCTCACTTGTGTATTAGAATATATAAACCTCTGATTTTATAGTTTTAGTGATAGATGCCGTGTAAACTTGCTTATTATTAATTGTCCATGGTATATTTTTGAGGAGCTGCTGAATCAGTCTTATACCTGTGCTTATGCTTGCAATTCCCATCCTATGTGTTGTTATGGCTAGTTTTGTTACCAGGATGGTGATTCATAATTTCAGTTAGACTTCCTGTACCTACTTGTTTGGGTAACTTGTTCTGTAAATCATCTTAAATTAACAAAATTTAAACATTTTATATTTAAATATTTATTTACTGCAGTTGAAAATTTGTGTAGAGTACATCTTCCAAACTCTCCAAGCCAGTTTTAAATTCTTTAACAAACTCGAATGATTGAAGAAAACATTAAACCCTTCATTATCTCTCACAAGCATCCTACATAACTTACTTACACTGAACAGATTTGCTGCAAATCCATTGAGGAACCTTAAGTTATTAAGAGAACTTGGCATCATGTATATTTGTGCACTTCTGAAAATTTGTAGTTAGATATTAATTTCATGTAATCTTATCAAGCTGAGTTATTGCTTCACCAACCGAATCTTCTAATTCTCCTTAATTAATTAGGTCTTTGTCACGTATGTACTGTCACTTTTAACCATGGTTTTCTAACACATTTGCACCTGCAGCCAACAGAGAAGTAAGGACAGCGTAAGTGCTTTGGCATCATAGTTATGCATGACCACTTATGCAATAAGATGTAGAAACACCATCTTTGGGTTTGACATGCATGACCAACTTCCTGCTTCTCGTTTCATTTGATAACCAACATTAATAACCGTTTTTTTTTATGTACAGGTAATAAGATTAAATCCTTAAGATTGTTGACATTATTTTGTAAGATTTCTACCATAGTTAGATGTTTATTATATCCAACAGCTTGAAATACAAGAGTATGGTTATTTTAAGATATGGTAGCCTGCTGTCAAAAGTGGGAGAAGACCTCTAGGCAATTAATAGGATATTTTTTTCAAATATGCATGCTAAAAAATAAGGAATTTTTACCACTACTTTGAAATTGACATAATTTTGGAATGGCAATAGATAATATGCTCAAACCTAATTTTGTTTCCTATGAAAAAGGTCTATATTGGTTAATCATCTTGTCATATTTTTATAGAAACATTAAATGAATGATGTAAAAATGTTTAATATATGCTTATTATAAATTTTCAATTAGAATGCAAGTTTAAAATCTACTGACCCTTGCTTTGCATGCAACTCCTTGTCCTTATGAATTTATAAGTTTTTTATTTACATTTCCTGATTTTCTTTATTCTCTTATAAGTTAACTTGTTCTAAATATTAAATAAGGTGGAGTGCAGTTAATACAATTAAAAAAAAATGGTTGATTTCTAAAATTGGGTCAATGATGAAATATACATGTTATATGCTATTGTATTTCTAGAACAAAATAATTTAAGATGGGTGTCTTTTTAGTGATAAAATAGTAAAATGTAAGTCATACCAGTGAGAAAGAAATGGGTGTAATTGAAATTAAACAGTCTCCGTGGTGTAGTGGTAAGACACTCGCCTGGCGTTCCGCGCGTGCTATGTCATGGGTTCGTATCCTGGCCGGGGAGGATTTACTGGGCGCAATTCCTTAACTGTAGCCTCTGTTTAACGCAACAGTAAAATGTGTACTTGGATGAAAAAAAGATTCTTCGCGGCGGGGATCGTATTCCAGGGACCATAGGATTAAGGACTTGCCCGAAACGCTACGCGTACTAGTGGCTGTACATGAATGTAACAACTCTTGTATATATCTCAAAAAAAAAAAAAAAAAAAAAAAAATGAATGAGAGATGAGGAACTTATAAAGAAGCTGCACGACTTCTAAACAACTAAGAATGGGAACTTTACTGGGTCTGGTAATCAAAATGTAAGTCTATAAATATATTATTAAATTTTTGTGAGAACAGGCAAGGATATTGGTATTAAATTGTGGTACTGGATGGAAGTTTCCAGAATGCAGTAAGCTTTCAAGTTATGCTAGGGATGCTCCAGAGAAATTGTGCTATGCAAGCCAGCATAAGTATTTGGGGTAATTATGGATACAGTCCAGAGACAATCTTTCTTAATGAATCATTGGTTTGAACATTATATATACTGTATTCCTATTATTGTTGCTAGGATATACAGTATTGTCAGATTGGCTAACCTTGTACACATGTCTTATGAAACCCTTTAACCCTTAAACTGCGCAATACATCTAGCTGGGGCGAGTAACTATTGCGGGACTGCGCACTACAGCTATGTATGGTTGGGAGTACTATGTAGGATTTAAAAGTCCAGTGGCTACACAGGGTTCGCATCAGCTTCCTCAGGGCTCTTGTAAACAGACACCATATTAAAAAAATAATCGGGGTCAACATTCCTGGGTGAGAGCGCCTCGGTACCGAGTGAGCAACCATGGCTGAAGCATGCAGCATGAACTAATAGCACTGCTGTTCAGCTTGTGACCACAGCATCACCTAAAAATGTCAAAATATGGCTGACACATTTTTAGGTGATGCTGTGGTCACAAGCTGAACAGCAGTGCTATTAGTTCATGCTGCATGCTTCAGCCATGGTTATAACTGGTAACTGGTATTATTTAGTGATGATAGTATTACAGAAGACCACCGACTGATAAAAATGACCAGGATTCGGATAATAGCAGGATTGTTGTGATAATTTGCACTGTGCATAGTATGGTGCGAGGAGTAATACGGAGGGAGGGAGGTAGCTTCGTCTGCTTACTACGTGTGGCTACCTGTTAGTGTCTGCATTTGCCATATCAGCTTAGTTGTTCACTATGTGAACACAAATGTAGATACTTATATATATAACGTGTGTATTAGTGTAATAACAGCAAAAAGGAGTATGTTGGGAGAAGCCATTTTAGTGAGGGAGGTGGCATCATCTGCATGACTTGTCATGCAGTGTATGGTGGCCACTATGCTGTTTGGGCACCATACTAGCTTAGTTGTAGTTATGGTGAATAAAACGTGCAAATACTTGTATATAGTGTAATAACACCACAGACAGTATGGTTGGAGGAGGAATGTTAGTGTGTGAGGGGTCTTGAACGAGTGAGGGAGGGAAGCAGCATCAGCCGACTTGTGTGTAACGACCTCTGTTATTGTCTGAACTCGCCATACCAGCTTAGTTGTATAGTTATGGCGAACAAAAAGAGTAGATACTTATATGTAATGTCCATATATAGTGAATAAAAGCAAAAAAACAGTATGGTGGGAGGAGGAATGTTGGTGAGCGAGGTGGTGTTGAGGGAGGGAAGGTGGCGGCATTGGCTGGCTGGTGTGTGGCGCCCACTCGTTTTTGTTTTGACAAATCATACCAACTTAGTGGTTTGTTATAGTGAACAAAACGTGCAGATGCTTATATATGTATATGTATATATACACATACACATATATATATGTATATGTGTGTGTGTGTGGTGTGTGAGATATAGATATAGATAGATATATATATAATGTAATATAATATGTCGTACCTATTAGCCAGAATTCACTTATCGGCCTACTATGCAAGGCCAAATTTGCCTAATAGGCCGAGTGATTTTCCTTATTTAAACAAAAAAAATTAGTTGGTTTATTTGAAACATTATTATATTATAACAAGAACATAAAGTATTGACTTAGTTAGGTTAGGTTAGGTAAGGTTGGTTAGGTTCGGTCATATACCTACGTTAGTTTTAACTCAAATTAAACAAAATTAACTCATACATCATGAAATGGACAGCTTTATCATTTCATTAGAAAAAAATTAGAAAAACAAATTCAAGAAAACTTGGCTTATTAGGCAAATTGGGTCTTGCATAGTAGGCCAAGAAGAGTGTTCTGAACATCAGGCAGTGAAGATTTCTCTGGAGTGTACTCTGGTACGTTTTGTCTGCATACCACTAGGTCCTGGTTGTGGCTCACTGCTGATTTTCTTACTTTTCTCACAAGGAAACGTTCCATTGAAGATTTTTTTTCCCATTGCAACACTTGTCTGTAGTGAGGCATCACGTTGTCATTAAAAAGATCAATGCAGCGGCCTACTACAGCTTTATCTGGGTGATTCTTTTTAGCAAAACGTTGCAGTCCTTCCCATACTGCACACATTTTCTTAACTAATGAGGAAGGGATATTCTCTACTGCCTCCTCTTTCTCCCCTGAAGATTTGTTGTACTGCCTAGCTAGTTCAACAAAAAGAGTACCATTTTCATGCTTCCGAAAAATCTCGTTTTTCCTCTATTGTCATTCTCACATGTGATTTCTTGCCTTGAACCTTACCATTGGCTTTCTTGGGACCCATTGCGAGATATATACTGTAACAACAACTTTTATGCTCAAATGGCCAAATATCCGACAAAATACCATAAATCCTTGTGAAGAATTCAGGCGGGATAGTCACTGGGTGCGAGGCACTGGTAAACTGAGGTGCGATCGCCATGCCACCATGCGTTAGGTCTGCTCGTATGCGTATCAACAAACTCGTTACCTGATGCAATATTCGTATCCCGATGCAAATTTTCCGAACAAATCGGGCTCGTAACCCGAAAAACTCGTAAACAAGGACGCTCATAACCCAGGGTTCCACTGTATATAAATAACCTGTGTATATAGTTGTAATAACAGCAAAATTATGGTTTTATGAACATAATAATTGAATCACTAATATGCACACCATACTTTTGAGTATAGCAATGATTCACACATTTTATTATAGAAATATATCACACTATTGAATAATTCCTTCTGAAAAAATAAGAAAAAATCGCATTGAAATAATTAGGTAATAATATCTTTGTGGCAACTCCCGCCAGACAGCTCGAGTGGAGCTGACTGACTCCTATGATTGTCAGCTCCTCAATTTTGCCAGACTTCCTCGCCCTATTGTGGCCAAAATATGTCGCCTACGATATTTCCCATCCCCCTTGGTCAGAGAACACACACTTTTATAAGATTTTTATTTCCTGCACCTGGGCAAGTTGCAGGGTATAATCATGAGCAGCCCAGGGGTTAAGGCAGCGGTCGCCAACCTGTGGTCTGCGAGACAATTTTATTTGTGTATTGTATGTAACTGTATTTTCTATGACAGTTATATTTAATGGCATCAAATAGTTTGACTTTAATGACTATAATTTTTTGTTTGATGGACTGCTGGATTCACATTAGTGGTCTACTGGATTTACAATTATGAATTTGGTAATCCATGAGCTCCGAAAAGTTGGTGACTGCTGCTTTAAGGGATCAAGTTACAAGGGATTATTGGGCATGATTGTTTACCATATTATAGAGAGAGTTTTGTTTCACTTAAGTGAAGTTTCGTTAGCTACGTTAGATGATTTTTTTACCCACTCCACAGTATCAGAAAAGGGAAGCAAGAGGTTGTGTTGGTTGAGGATCACATGGTACTTTTCATTTAAGACATTTGGATGATCATCTGCACTGTGCAAGGATGTGTTTTAACAGGAACACACACTGGTGTGTTCTGGGGAATGCCCGTGCATCCTGGGGCACAATTCCATACAAAGTGCATCCTTAAGATCATATAGTTCTGCAATTTCTGTCTTAAAATTATTGAAGTGTAAGCTAATCATAATTTATTATCTATAGCTTGCTTGTGGTATTGATATTGAGCTAATCCTATTAAACTGCAGTTTGAAAAGAAAACAAAAAGTAGGGGGTGGCAGATGAGTTAGGGAGGGAAAGTGCCCTTAGCAACATAGCATGATGGAGGTGCATGAGAAATGGTTAATATGGGACATACAGTAAATTATCTGGTTTTGGTAAACTTCATTGTTCTTCCAAATATCTCTTATTTACTGTTGCTAAGTAGTGTTGGCTACAGCATTTTGCATACATGTATTAACCCTGTGTTAGTACTTTGGTGTGTTTGTTCACTCCAGCATATTTTGCCATCTTGTTTCCTAACTGTGTATAGAATCTGATGCAGTAATTATGTATGTTGTCTTGATCATAACACATTGGTACAGTAAAACACAAGTTGGTTTTATCAGCTATTTATTATGATGGAGAAAACAAACATGACTGGTTATTTGGCAGATGTGTCCTTAACAAACAAAATAATAAATTAAGTTAAGGTTAAGTTAATAAGGTCGGGAATATTGTTGCCAATTGAGGAATAGGATTATTTATTTTATCAGTTTAGAATTGGCAAATTAGCATTCTTCTCCATCTGAAGGCACAAGGCGTATCATGAGTGTGTTAATTTTACATTTATAACTTGGACATCCATTACACAAAAAAGTGGCTTTTATGTGAGGAGGAAAAGGGGGACTGCTGTATTTTTTAGGTCATGAAGCTGCCACTATAGGTCATATGTATTTTTGAGGGATCTGTCAGTTTTAACTGTTACATAGTGCTCTCTATGTTACAATGTTCTTCATGTGTGCATAAACACAACATATTGATTGATATACACTGTATTTCATTCTAAATATATTGTACAATACACATTAGTCAGAAATGTATAATGAAAGCTTTATCTTCAAAATATTTCCATCATGCAAATACTTAAGTTGTTTTCCTTTTAATCAGATTGCACGTCTTACTGCAATCAATCGGCGGCTGACGCGAACTGTAAGCATGCAGAGGCTGGACTTTACAAGTGGACCAGAATCTGATATTGAGGACACAGAAGATTATAGATTGTGCTTAGAAGATTCGGATTCATCGCCAAAGAAATATGACTATTCAATTAAAGGGGAAAATGGAGTAGTTGAGCACTCAAGAGATGAAAGAGTAAGAATACCTTCTACTGGCAGTGATAGATCAACACCCTCACCCTCTCGGGAAACTGCAAACAGAAAAACGTCACAAACTCTTGCTGATGCATTCCTTGAGCAGTTACCAGAAGTCAGAAATTGGGATGATGCATATCAAAATGGCTCTGCAACTTGTGAAGAGAGAGAAGCATACTAGTGATCATGTTGTGAACTTGTGCAAGTTGGTATAAGGTGATTGCTAATGATATGCAACTAATGAAATGGACAGCTTTAAAATATGAAGTAGATATAAGAACATTTTTATTAATGTACATAAAATTGGGAAAGAAGTCGTTGAATTGTGTGTACATTTCTATGATGCAGAAAAGTCCTTACACGTGGGACACTAGAGATGATAAGTTGTCGTGTGTTATTGGGTATTTGGCACTCTTAAGGCTAGCTCATCCATTTTACTCTGTAGACCACATCAATTTCATGTGAATTTGAGTGTATTTATACTTTCATATAACCAGTATGAGATTTCTATTCAAATTATTTAATTGCAATTTTGTTCAAAATTGGGCAAAATAATATATTAGTAACGTTTGGAGATTCAACCTCACTGATACCAAATAAAGCCTACTAATTGACGCTGAAGGTTCTTGACAGGTGGCTTAAACAGTTTGTGTGAGGTTGTATGCAAAACGGTTATTTTTTTTTATGTGGAGTAACCAGCAAATAATACGTTGTTGGTTACCTGACCTAGTATGTCTTGATTATGTAGCAGTGTCCACAATATACCAATTACCCAGGATACTAGTATCTTGGGTTTTATAGCTCATTTTGATAAAGAAGTGCAAATGAGAATTGCACTGACTCTGGAAAAGTAGAATTAAGGTATTGAACTGTAGATTAGAAGTTTGTTTAAATGGGCTATTGAGATTTGTTCCAGGATTGAGACATGACAGAATACCAGAATGTAGCAATAGGACATGCTTCACAGGTATCTATAGGCACAATCAATGTAAAGCTGTGATGTTTTCCTTGAGCCTTCACTTCTCTTGGGAGAAGGTGGGTTAACGAAACCAAAACAAAGATATATATTTATTTATTTTAGGTTTCCTTTTATATGTACTTACATTATGTGTATATATATATATATATACTGTACTAGATAACAGCTGATTTACTCAATCTCTTATTTCTGGTTATTGTATATTTTCAACGATTTTGTATTTTTACTTAATGTCATACTACGTACATCCTTATTAAAGTGTCTTCCTTAAAATCATGGATGGGAGTGACAATCACAAGGTGCAGTCCATTTAATTTTTGCTATGACTTTCATAACTTTTGGCATATAAATATATATGTATATTATATATGTATTATATATAATATATATTTATATATATTTATATATATATTATACAGTATATTTATTTATAAATATTTATATATATATTTATTTATAAATATTTTACTATGCTGCAAAATTCTTATTTCCACCTTTTAAAACTAACTTATAACTGTCCCAAAGGTGCTACATTTGCTCCTGTGATTGTGGTTTTGTCTTGCTTTAAAATTGCTCATACACCAACTAGATTCAGGTCATTTTTATATATATATAATATGTTTGCAAGAGTTTATTGATATTAATGCAAAACAGTTAATGTAAATGCTCTAAAGCAATTTGAGACCCCTCCCTCCCTCCCATATGCTTCAAAAAGGATTGCTCCTGTATGTATGTGGCTTATTGTTTATTATTCACTCACTGTTACAGCTGTTATTTGCAAGCATACTAGATCTGTACACACAGGCACCCGTCACTTAGTAATAGAATTTATTCAATACTCAATATTTCGATACTTACAAATATCTTATAGGAAGAAATTTGCACCTACTGTGTTGGTATCATCAATAGTAACAAATTTCAAGATGTGAACTATGTTCATGGTAACGTCAGGAGGTGGTGGTGGTGGTACTACTACTACTATTACTCCTACTACAAAACTTTGATATTGAATGTTATTATTAAGTTCACTAATGAGGGAAGGACGTGTGAATATTTAATCTGGGATAATGACATTCCAGTGTGAAGTTTATCTTTAACACCAATGATACTTCAATAAAATAAACATCACTAAGAGAGTTTTGTTGCTCATTTTTTTTATCTTTGGTTAAGTAATTATCAAAAGGCACCAAGCCAGGGTAGGTATGTAGCACCATTAAAGTTGCAGGTGTGTGTGTAGGTAGGTGTGGGTGTGTGGGTAGGTGTGGGTGTGTGTGTGGGTAGGTGGGTGTGGGTGTGTGTGGGTAGGTGTGTGAGTGTGTGGGGGTAGGTGTGTGTGTGTGTAGGAGGACTGGTAGGAGCCATGGTGGGTTGGTAGGAGGCATGGTGGGCAGGTAGAAGGCATTGTGGGCTAGTATGAGCCATGTAGGGCTGGTACGAGGCATACTTGCCAGGTAGGAGGCATAGTGGGCTGGTAGGAGCCATGGTGGGTTTGGAGGAGGCATGGTGGGCTGGTAGGGGGCATAGAGGGGGGCTGGTATGAGGCCTGGTGGCCTGGTAGGAGCAATAGTGGGCTGGTAGAAGGCATTGTGGGCTGGTAGGAGGCATGGAGGGGCTGGTATATGGGTCATATATTGCCCAAACCCCCCTGCAGTTTTCAAAATATCTGAAATATCGAAAATTTTGACTCCTGAGCGTGATTTGAGTCGAATTCTGACTGCACCTATTTTAATTTTTAAATTACGACTTTTTATACCGAAAATATGCCAATTACTGAAAACGGCGATGGGTCATATTTTGCCCAAACCCCCCCTGCAGTTGGTGGTGGGGGGGTTAGGGTACCTTTTACCAGGAGAAATGGTGGGCTGGTAGGAGGCATTGTGGGCTAGTAGGAGCTATGGAGGGCTTGTAGGATGTATGGTGGGCTGGTAGGAGCCATGGTGGGCTGGTAGGAGGCATGGTGGGCAGGTAGGAGTCATTGTGGGCTGGTAGGAGGTATGATGGGCTGGTAGGAGGTATGATGGGCTGGTAGGAGGTCTGGAGGGTTGGTAGGAGGCATGGAGGGGGCTGGTAAGAGGCATGGTGGGCTGGTTGGAGGCATGGTGGGCTAGTAGGAGCTATGGAGGGGCTGGTAAATCCATATTGGGCTGGTAGGAGCCAAGGTGGGTAGGTAGGAGGCATGGAGGGGCTGGTACGAGGCATACTGGGCAGGTAGGAGGCATGGTGGGCTGGTAGGAGGCATGGCGGGCAGGTAGGAGACATTGTGGGCTGGTAGGAGGCATGGAGGGGCTGGTAGGAGCCATGTTGGGCTGGAAGGAGGCATAGTGGGCAGGTAGGAGGCATGGTGGGCTTGTAGGCGGCATGGTGGGCTGGACGGAGGCATAGTGGGCAGGTAGGAGGCATGGTGGGCTGGTAGAAGTCATGGAGGGGCTGGTAGGAGGCATAGTGGGCATGTAGGAGGTAAGGTGGGCGGGTAGGAGCTATGGTCGGCTGGTAGGAGGCATGGAGGTGCTGGTAGGAGCCATGGTGGGCTGGTAGGATGCATGGAGGTGCTGGTAGGAGCCATGGTGGGCTGGTAGGATGCATGGAGGTGCTGGTAGGAGCCATGGTGGGCTGGTAGGATGCATGGAGGGCTGGTAGGAGCCATAGTGAGAAGGTAGGAGCCATAGTGGGCTGGTAGAAGGCATTGTGGGCTAGTAGGAGCCGTGGAGGGGCTGGCACTTTCATGCAGAATACAAAATGGTAAAAATGTTTTAAGGTCGTATGGTGGTATTCCTTGGTGGTAAGGCTTCTGGCTTCAAGAATGTACATGACCACGACACGTACGATGTTGATGGTACAAGACTCTTCCGAGTAAGTACAGTATTTTATTATTTCTCTGTAGGAGTTAAACTTCTGATATGCAGCAGATTTCTGTTTAGGCTTATGAAGGATACCTTACAGCTTGATATAGCACTTATTATTAAACTAATGAAAAAGGTATATAATATTATACCAGTCAGCTAAAAATGGTTAATTTGAGAAATAGATACCAAATGCTGAAGCAAGATGTTTGGTTCAGCTTTTCAAGAGCATCGGTATCATTGCTATTATAAGCTATATCTACATCCATTAAATTACATGACCTTGTTATAGAAAATAGCATGAATATATTTTTTAAATACTAGTATTTAATGTACTTTGTATAACATTTGTGTGATCATTGCTGCAGGTGCGTGGCACGTGTGACTGACACCCGCGCCGTCCAGAGGTGGCCGGGTCACTCAATGCTGATGATGCATTCGTTTTGGAAACACCAGGAAAACTTACCTCTGGATTGGCAAGGTCTGATTTACTAGTTCAATATTTTTTCTTGTTAATATTAAAAAACAAGAAAAAAAAGTATAAAAACTCAACACATTAACGTAGCTAGATTTCTTGACAGCATGCTTTAGTTCTCACTCAGTTAATTGCCTTTGTAAAATTGCTGAACTATTTGTGAACTCATAGCTGTAATAGAATATACAGGTATTGCAGCAAAAGTTGACTGAAACAATTTCTGGGGGAGCCCCGTCGGCTCCCCGGAGCTATCCCAGGCTGATATGCTAATGTCACACTTTGGCATCAGTCATGTGTATGGAGTTCTTAGGCCTACCGGGGACCACGGCCAGAACCGGGCCCCCTCAGAGAAGCAAGGGGAGCAATGGCCTATAGAAGCCCCCGTGTAGTTCAAAGCATTCTTTTCTGACCAGGGGGCAAAAGACACAGGCCGAATGGGCGTAAATTTTTTATTAGTATATTAAATTCTGCAGAACATGTAAATAATATAAGTAGGAATTAACAAATGTAACATGTCCATGTCCGAGGACTAATTAACTTAAAATGTACCCCCGTAGTAGTAAGCATAGCCTAGACATGGCAAACACGTTCTGCACAAACCTAATGGCAGATAAAATATAATTACAACTAGGTATAACAGTCAGGACAAAGGGGAAATAAAGTGTATAGACAACACTTAACGGAGCCCTACCAAGACATAATGGGAAATCCTAGAATTAACAGGCGGGCAGAAAATACCTAGTGACTGGGGAAAACTGATATGACAAATGGGAGAAGTTTTTCCCAGGGCGTGAGGCCGGCCGCCAAGGAATAAGAAGTGTTTCCCGACTTACTAGCACCTAGACTGGGCAAAGGGTTAGCTGCTTACAGCGGGACACTTGGGGACCGGCGCTGCTCCCCCCTCCCCCACTTGCGGTGGGGAAGACGGACACTGGCACAAAGCATGACTGGGAACTGCCACTTGCATGAAGGGGAGGCGGGTGGGAGTTTAGAGTACTGCGACGGTCGGGTGGAAGTGAGGGTGAGCCCCTGAATCTGAATAATACAGGAGAAGATGCCCATTGGGGCGAGCCTTGAAGTGGGAACAGCTGAAGAGTAGTCGGCGAGAGGAAATGCTGAAGTTGAAGAAAAAAGTGCCAGGGCTAAACCCAGCTGCGTGGCAATACGTCTATGCTGCAAACAACCCAACAACTGGCTAGGCTTGGAGGCGGGTCTGGAAGGCGGCGGTGGCAGCGCTTCAACATTCAAGGTGGAAACAATCTGTCTTCAGGTGGTGGTGTCTTCAATTTGGCGTTTTTTCTTTCTTCGAGTAATCATTTGACGTTTGTACTCTTGCGTAGTCTGGTGGGAAAAGGTCCTTTGACAATGTGGTTTCGTCGCATTCAACGAAGATTACTTCGTTCCTTAGTGTGTACTTTAAGTTTGGATCATTCAGCAGGCATTCCGCATACCTTGTGTTGAGTATTTTGCTGGAGAGGCGTCTGTATTCGGGAGTTCCAAGTGTAAGTTTTTCACGTTGATCATATAGTGCGGAGACTCCTCTGTTGCTGGAGATGGTGATTGTGCTTCAACGTCAATCGAGGCAGTAGAGTCATCATTGGAAAAAAAAGTGTTGGCTTGCAGAAGCATCAGGTGTAGGTACCTGTGAAGCTGGTGTAGTCTCAGGTGCGGCTGGTGTATTTTCTGGTGAAGCTGGTGAAGTTGGTGCAGTCTCAGGTACCACTGGAGAAGTAGATGGTTCGTCTGGAGTAGTAGCAGTGTGCAAGGATGTTGCAGAGTCTGTAGCAGGTTCCACAGGGTGGGCGTCAACAGACAGGATATCTGCCAATGCAGTTTTAGAGATGGTGATGTTAGAAGCAGAAGTGGTATTTGTTGCTGAAGTCGTAGCATTGGTGTTGGCTGAGGCTGTTGTTAAGAGCTCGTCACGAACAGTAAATGTTGGTAAACCGTTGTCAGCGTACATATGTTCAGAATTCGTACAAATTCCTTGGTGTTAATGCCTGCAATCATTTCAGCAGTGCGGATGAGTCCCATTATGACATTATGGTTCCTGTTAGAGAGCAGTATCTGGTGTGGTGAGGGCTGGCTTGTTGATTCAGCAGAGTAAAGTTGTGGCTGTCGCTGCTGCGTCGATGATTGGTTGGCGGGCTGGGACCCAGGGCCCCAATGGGATAGCCCCTCTCTGCCTCAGAATTTATATGGCCCCAGACTTCCCGCGCATCTGCGCGGGGCGCACTGCGCAACTGTTTCTTTGTCCCTCTCTTCAGAAACATCTCCGCTTTGTATTTCAAAGCAGAGGCCATATGTCTGCCATCGACCGGAACAGGCACCCAGAAAGGTAAGCGCCCCAAAACAAACCCCTATTCTGGTTAAAATTGCTACTAAAAACCGAACTAGTGGATAGAACTCCCCCAACCGAAAACAAGCAAACTAGTGTGACGTCACACACTGCCGCGCCGCTGTCTGCGCAGCTCCCCCCTCCCCGGGAGGGGGAGCCCCAGACCCCCCGCGCCGGCTACCCACACCTCAGTGCTTGAGGCTGATGCTATAGGTGATGGTCGTGTGCTCTGGCTCCGGTGTTGCTACTGCACTGTGCTTTGCGTGTGGTGTTGGTTTTGTGGGTGCGAGAGCCAGGAGTTATCTTCAGTACTCGGGCTGCATGCGCCTAGGGCTGCCTTCCCTAGGTGCCCTGTAAGTTTTTTTTTTTTGTTTGAGATATATACAAGAGTTGTTACATTCTTGTACAGCCACTAGTATGCGTAGCGTTTCGGGCAAGTCCTTAATCCTATGGTCCCTGGAATACGATCCCCTGCCGCGAAGAATCGTTTTTTCATCCAAGTACACATTTTACTGTTGTGTTAAACAGAGGCTACAGTTAAGGAATTGCGCCCAGTAAATCCTCCCCGGCCAGGATACGAACCCATGACATAGCGCTCGCGAAACGCCAGGCGAGTGTCTTACCACTACACCACGGAGACTGCAAACTGCAGTCAAGTACTGCCCTTGGGGCCACCTTCTACAGGCTCCTCGGGGTCTGCCTCTGCTGGTCCGTTTTACCTTTCGGTTTTTCGGCCGCCTGTTGGGCTCTTGGGTGTTCTGTTCTCCCTTGTTACTGGCAGGTAAGAGGCAGTTTGCACTGGTAGGGGCGCAGGGTGCTGCTCAGCTTGTATTTCCCGACATTCAAGCTGTCATTGCAATCAATCTTAGCTACCTATGTGCTTTAATATACTGTACCTACAATTTTCTCATCTTTTTTTCATTTCATGTAACTTATCATTTTTTTGTCTAAATTTTGCAAGTATTTACCTCAAAATTTTCTTAGATTAAAGACCTGCCCGAAACGCTGCGCGTGCTAGTGGCTTTACAAGACTGTAATTACCATATTTGTATCCTCACATTCCTTATGTACATTCTTGTATATGCATAAATAAATAAATAAATAAACATCGCGGCCGGCTCTGTTCCTTGGGGTTCGCTGTCCTCTTGCGGGGTTTTGTTTTTCTTTTTGTTTGCCTGGTGGGGGGGGTTGTCATTTTATTCAGTTTGTTTTTGCCCTTCCACTGTTCTCCTCGGTGGCGCCCCCTGCTAGGTCCCTGTGAGTGTACACGTCCCTGGGGTTCAGCTTTAGAAGTTTGCTTGGTAGTTTTGGGTGCCGGTTTGCAGCACCCTGCCTGAGACTACCTGAGCGCGAGTCCTCTTAAGGGGGCGCTATTCGGGTATCATAAAGTTGTTGTTTAGTGTCAACCATTATTTTTGTCTAGTTGTATATGAAAAGGGCTACAATTGTTCGAAGTTTCAGCACTAGCCTAAATAGTAAGGGAGATTTTTAATTTTTTTATTTTCAGCGAATTTTACACATTTTCAAGTGTAAATTTACAACCACACCTTTCAGATATAATCATTCTGACACTTTTCTGACACATTAACATATAATAAAGGATCTCTAGCAAAAGATTTTCCAAAACGTCTTTAGTTTTCCTAATACAAATAGTCTAAGTTCCCCCCCAAAATTATGCAAATATATCATGTTTATTGCTATTATAAAGTCAATAAAGAACTCAAGATAAAAACATTTGCAAACGATTTTAGACATAAAATTTATATATAATGTGTAAGTTTCATGTAAATTGCATAAAAAATGAAAGATATTCATGTTCAAGTAACAAACTTTCAAGTAAAAAATAGTCTAAGGTGTTGCCCTCTGTGGCTGAAGTTGACATCAACCAATTTCCTCCAAAATTGGCACCCTTACAGATAGGCTTACGTGCAGTCAGATGTATAAGTTTCATGGGGTCTGGGGCTCCCCCTTCCCCCTCCTGGGGAGGGGAAGCTGCGCAGACAGCGGCGCGGCGGTGTGTGACGTCACACTAGTTTGCTTGTTTTCGGTTGGGGAGTTCTATCCACTAGTTCGGTTTTTGGTAGCAATTTTAACCAGAATAGGGGTTTGTTTTGAGGCGCTTACCTTTCTGGGTGCCTGTTCCGGTTGATGGCAGACATAGAATGCTTCCAACCACACGGGGGGCTTCTATAGGCCATTGCTCCCCTTGCCTCTGAGGGGGCCCGGTTCTGGCCGTAGTCCCCGGTAGGCCTAAGAACTCCATACACATGACTGATGCCAAAGTCTGACATTAGCATATCAGCCTGGGATAGCTCCGGGGAGCCTCCGGGACTTGCCCAGAAAATGGCGTTTCATTACATTCAACGCTGGTTTTTTAAATACTAGTATTTAATGTGCTTGGTATAACATTTGTGTGATCATTGCTGCAGGTGCGTGGCACGTGTGACTGACACCCGCGCCGTCCAGGTGCCTGAGGTGGCCGGCTCACTCAATGCTGATGATGCATTCGTTTTGGAAACACCAGGAAAAACTTGCCTCTGGATTGGCAAGGTCTGATTTACTAGTTCCAAATATTTTTTCTTGTTAATATTAAAAAACAAAAAAAAGTATAAAAACTGAACACTAACTTTAACTTTAACATTAGATTTCTTGACAGCATGATATAGTTCTCACTAAGTTAATTGCCTTTGTAAAATTGCTGCTCTATTTGTGGACTCATAGCTGTAATAGAATATACAGGTATTGCAGCAAAAGTTGACAGTGAAACAATTTATATAACTACAGTATTTGAGAGAAACAGATTTGTAGAGAAATGCTTAGTGGATATTTTCACGAATCACTGTATTTAAAAAATCTCCTACCTTGACTATCCAGGGAGCAAGTGAAGAGGAAAAGGCTATGGCCGAGAAGGTTGCAGAGCTGGTATCTCCTGGTCGTGACCTGCAGGTGGGTATACGTACACATTTGGATAAGTTATTTTCACAAGATATTCTTTTGAAAAATAAAAATTCTGATGTACAGTACAATACAGTATTTAGAAATGCTTGTCAGTATCACCATCTGCTACAGTTCAGCAATGCTTGGAAACTTGTGATTTTGATATTTTCTTTATAAATATTACATTTAGAGTATACAAAGATTTCTTGATAACTCAAGCATGTAGGTCAAACTACTGTATTCACTTTAGTGAAGACTGATCATTTACAAAGTCATTGCGCCAAACATTTGCTCCATTAACTAAACACCTGGGACACTACAATTGAAAGAAGGGTTAACTTTTGTTCCCTAGGAATGAGAGAACTCTTGCACATGATTAGTCCCATGGCAATCATAACATGAGAGGAGAGGATTCCCAGGACCCAATAGAATTAGGTGGATTGAAATATAAAAAAACTGCTATTATTGAGGGAACGGTTCATTGGCATTCAAGACAATGATGATCCTCTAAAGAGGTTTACCTTCCTTGCAGTACATACTCCTACGACTGGGAGCCGGTCGGCCGAGCGGACAGCACGCTGGACTTGTGATCCTGTGGTCCTGGGTTCGATCCCAGGCGCCGGCGAGAAACAATGGGCAGAGTTTCTTTCACCCTATGCCCCTGTTACCTAGCAGTAAAATAGGTACCTGGGTGTTAGTCAGCTGTCACGGGCTGCTTCCTGAGGGTGGAGGCCTGGTCGAGGACCGGGCCGCGGGGACACTAAAAGCCCCGAAATCATCTCAAGATAACCTCAAGATAACCCTGAAGACACCAACAATATTATTTGTCAAGTTATATAAATAAAAATGATTAAAACCGTATATTAGAGATATGATACTATGGAGTAATCATAGGTACACAATGTATATTATATAATGACTCCAGTATACAGAACTTCTGGGGCATAATATAATTAGGTCATTTGTAAGTTTAATGGGATAACTTAATTATGTTGCATTGCTTCTCATTTGGTATTGAGCTGATGAAGAGCTTCAGCAAATGACCTACAAGTCCTAATTGATATTTAACTTTTTAGGAAGTCTTGTAACAAGATAGTCTTGAATGTCTTAGGACAAATGATGGCATTTTGGTGAAAGCCAAACAAGATACCATCATTTACTGGTACCATCAGGTTACCAGGTATCAAGACGATTGATACCTCATTTATGACTTGCATATATGATGTTATTTGAACTGCATGTGATTGCTTATATAGCTAGTGAACTATAGGGTCTCTGGACAAATCTAGTTCATTATACCAACATGGGAAGAATTTAAAGACTATTCATTCCGTATACAGTACAATATCTCTCGGTAAATCTTCAAAATATAGTAGAATAACCGGTAGTACTGTAGTCTTGTTTCACTTGATAGAAAAATGTTTTACAGCAGAGAATCTCTAAAGTTAAAGTCTGAAGCATTATAGTATTTGTTCAGAGATTCCTCTCAAAAGGAATCTGATAAAATGTATTTGCCTTTCAAAAGGGATTGTAAATGTTTATATAAAGTACCATTAGAGAATAAAAAGTTCCATAGTTTGAGGTTTATTAATGTACCTTCATGTACAAGGTTGTGGCTGAAGGGGAGGAAAGCGATGACTTCTGGGCTGGTCTCGGTGGTAAAGGTGAATACCAAAATGTTCGCGAGCTAGACAGACCTCTGTTGTATCCCAGACTCTTCCACTGCACCATCTCTCCTGTTGGCTGCCTCAGAGTTAATGAGGTGTCTTAACTTCTCCCAGGAAGTAAGTGGACTGCATTTTGTATGGTGTATATTACATTGATGATTCCACTAAAGAATCTAAACTAATTAGCTACTGAGACTAGCCTGCAAGATAGTAATGAAATACAGTACTGCATTGTACATTCATTTACTAAGTTAATTTCTCCCAACAGGACCTGAATTAGGATGATGTTATGGTTCTGGACTCTGGCGATGAAATTTACGTTTGGGTTGGACAAGGTTCCGATGACCAGGAGAAAGAGAGCCTTTGCTATGGCAGAGGTAAGATAAGGAGCTCGAGCTCAAAGAGGAGCTCAAAATTATGGAAAATATGAAGCCATTCATCTTTCTAAAGGGTACTGCCATTATTTTAGTGATTTATAGAGAAGTTGTTACGAACATTTTCTGATTCTTATAACTGTGATGATTTTTAAATCACTGATAAATGTAGCTTCTAAATCAAAATCTTTAGTGTACAGTGCAGTATATAATTATAGATATTACGTTATGTTACAACTTTCCAAGGTAACTAATTTACTATAAATCTGTGTACACTAACTCAGTTATGTACAAATATTTATGAATAAAAGATTTGAATTTGGTGGATAATTATAAGAGCAATATTACTTTTAATATATTGGAAAGAGATCCATATGAAAGTAACTTGGTGAACTCCAAGCTTCATCTTCCCATTGAGGTCACAAGAGATGGTGCCCGCTGGTAAATTCAGTTAAATTTCCCAAGTAATATATTTAGGCATTTAGTTTATTCAATAGTTTACAATGCTTGCCCAGCAAATGCACTGCTTTCAATACATCAGAAATTTTTTTTATAAGATAAGTAAAAAAATATAAGTTTATGCTGATAAACTCCAGCTGTAGCAACTATCTTTGTGAGTAGGGAAACTTTACACTAATTAAATAGTAACCAGAATATATATTCTAAAAATTATTGTAGAACTGTAAATAATCAAACTAATCAAACTCATGCTTGCACTTCATGTGCTTAACATTTTAAAGTATTATGCAGTACCATAGAATGCACGGTGTAAAACACTTCTTCGTTACAGAACTACGTTAAGACTGATCCGACAGAACGTACCCTGGACTCGACTGTGATCCTACGTGTGACGCAGGTAGAGGAACCGGCTGCCTTCACTGCCATCTTTCCTGCATGGAACCCCGACATGTGGCAGGTACGTGAAGAAATGTTGAAATACTCAGTCCAGTACAGGAGATGGATTGGGATATATAAAATAGTATATAGTAAATTTATTAGAATATTTATATACCAGAAGTACAAGTTCTTGTGAACAAAACAGTGGCTAGTGATATGATTATGTAGTACAGTACAGTAACAGGTTGAGTAAAATAATTTATTGTGGGGAAGATATGGTACAAGTGTTAATATGCAGCTCATCCTCCTGTGTAAGTAGTACTTACAGTAACGCTGAGGACCATTGTACATAGATTGACGTAAAAGGCAAGTAGAAAGTAGAACCCGATACTGAATTTGGACTAACTGGAAACATTTTTGTAATGGTGCTGTAAAGAAAACTTAATTTAACTAACCTCCCTAGACTTAATACATGCTATCTGAGGCATAATACAGTACACACATTATTTACCAATATTCAGGTAAATCGGGTAAAATGTATGTGCTATCTTAGCCTAGGAATATTTGAGTTTGGTTTATAGTTTAATTTTTTGAACTCAATAAAGTGAATAGTAACAATTTCTACTATCTACTTGTCCGTTACGTCTATGTAAGTTCGATGGGCCACATAGTTGCAAAAAGTGCTATATAAACAGGAGGATGGCTTGTAATGATAGTATTACTTTGTAAACCAAAATTTATATATTGTGCTCAAAATTAGTGGTGATGGATTGCAGTAAATATTAATAAAATCGTAAAAAGTACAGTAGAGTATACACAAAAGTGGCAAATACGTTGTGAATATATTGTGTTCTTAGGTTGTCGTGAAGAGAACATGCTGTATGTGCATTATTTTATATTAAGTGCTCATTTTAAGTTTCTTTTTTATAAAGTGATAACAGTACACATGCAACTATAATAAAATTGCATAAATATGCAAGCGTTTCAAATGAAGTGGCTATCTTTTTATAGTGCACATAATGCTTCGTGGCTAATGTGTACATTTATCAAGTTTTATAGCCCTTTGAAAACTCACCATTATTCAGTGTTTCAGAATGGAAATAAGGGTATGTGAAGAATGTCAAATTACAATAGTAATAAGAGGTTAACGTTAATATTTGAACTTAAAGGTTCTTTACTTCTCAAGTACAGTACTAACATACAGTTCTTTACAATCAAAATATTAATTAATATTAATTCTAAACTTTATACAAATTGTAAAGATGCTAACTTATAACGAGCATTAATTATAATGCCCATGGCATGCAAAGCAGCATGGTTAGTTCTAAAATGCTAATTAAAAACAAATATACCATTTGTCTAATAATATAAGCATAGGGCGAAGAAATATATGCATATACAGTATAAGTTATATTTAGCTACATGATAAAATTAATAACAAAATTTGGCTTTGAATGAATACGAAAAGCTTCATTCTGAGCATGACACTCGCATGCTCCTTAAGACAAGATATCCTGGTTCCAAAGCTCCTTAAGGGAAGATATATCCTGGTTCCAAAGCTCCTTAAGGCAAGATATATTCCAGCGTATTAGATCATGACAAGTCAGGCCAAGGGTGACAATCTGCATTGGCACAACAGGGATGGAGGGGAGGAGGCTGTTGGTAGGGGACAAAGAAAAGGAAAACCACTAGAGTTAACTGAACTTTGATGCAGATGTGAGATCATGATCGTGTAGGCCATGACCCAGATATGCTTCCACAGGGCATCCACATTTCCACCAGAAGAAATGACGATCATCTGATAGCTCTTGGTCAATAATGGTGCATCTGTATAGAGCTTTTATAACCATATCGTCATTTTTTTATAAAGACTTGGCAATAATAATGAAAATTGTCATATTACAATAACTGCAGTGGTTCAGAAGATCAACAAACAATGACTGCACTTTTGAAGGTTAAAATAATAATCCACTTTCTACTAGACTGAAAGTTAAAATTTAGTCATGCATTATGATTTAGCAATAACCCTCTTGGTGGTGTGGTTTTGAGACATTATGCCCATTATTATTAGATAAAATCTGGTGGAAGTACTAGGCTGGTAGAAAGGAGCGAGGGATTTTGATAGATTAAATGTGTGTGACCAGAGTACTGTAATCATGTGATCACTGTCATGAATGACGAGCTAATGGTAGCAAGCATAACATGCATCCCTATACACCAAAACAATTCTCGTAATTTACTTTGAAGATAATTTTAAAATCATTATTGTATGCTAGTTTGTGTTTGTTGTTTATACTAGTAAATGATCATTATTGAGTATACATTACTGCTGTGAACATTTCAATTTTCTTGTGTAGCTTTTCTGTTAAGTATCTAGGCCCTTTTAGATTAACTTTAAACACTCCACATAACTTTTAATGAGCATGGATCTTCAGTTCACTTGCACATACATGGGAATGAAGCTTGTTCTCCTCTTGCTCAAAATTGATATGAAACTATGTATACACTTTATAAAAGCTATAGAAGCAATTCTATTTGCCACTTAATTTTCAGTAATTGCATTATGTAGGTATAGCATGCTGCCTCTCATCACTTTCAACCAAATTATGCTTCACTTTCTATATATTCATTATTAACTTAAAATACTCTTCTGCTTTGTATAATTTTACTGTTGACCAAATTTAAAATATTTCCTATTCCAGCACTTATAAATAAGTATTTTTAAAATATACTTCAACAAAGCAGATGGCAGTTATAAACAAGACTAAATGTTTCTGCTTATTTCCGTTGCAGGTGGAGGATTAGACGGCTTGCCGTACTGTGATGTGCGGTGTTTTGATAGGTGGTATTGCTTGTAGCTTCATCTACACACTGCTCTGCCTGTAGTGCATGCTGCCCTAAGGCATTATTCTCCTGCAGTTAGGCTGGGCAGACCTAGGTGTGGTGTGTTGCAAGATGCTGTTGTACAAGATTTGGTCCTCTGTTCCATGTTGGAAGAGGCTTTGGGGCAACAAAAAGACATGCAAAAATATCATCTCAATTTTACCAGTGTTAAATATTAAGGATTTACCGTCTAGAACAGTGGTTCTCAAAAGGGAAAGGCACTTGACTTCTGAGTGAGGTACAGTACCTATATTTAAAATCTAATTGGATGGATATGTCAGGGAAGGAATATCAGTGAGGGAATGAACTCCAAAATACAAAAGAATATACTTTGAGGAAACCTGGGATCACAATGGAAGGTTTGTGTCCTGGCACTCTGAGAACCACTGCTCTAGAACATACCTAGAAATGTGTGATGAGTGCTTGTAGCAATGTGCGTAGTGATGCATGTGTATCTTAGTCTGCCTGAAGCTGCTGGCGAGACCCATCAGTACCTTCATATGCAGGATATGACGACAGTTTTGAGAGGGGGGGGGGGGCTGCACAAAAGACTTGTGATGCCCTTGGTGAAAAATTTATCTCGACACTACATCTGATCATTTGTCTGGGATAGAAGATGCAGTCAAGTTAAATTAGTCCTGGACACTAATGTAGCTGTAGGAAGATCAGAACTCATAATGAACCATTCCTAATCAGTGTATTTGACATTAAATTTGCTAGATTGTGATGACTAACATAGTGGTTGTTGCAGCAGCTTCCCAGACGAGCCGAGAAGTCTCAAAATATAGAAAAAGTTGTCAAAGATCAACCTGAAAAGAAAGACTTCTAACTGTTGCTGTTGCCAATGAGCGTGAAGTAAAACCGATCAGCTGAGGAACTTCAAACATACTAACCCTTTTGATGTATCCAAGGCTTCCCTCCTAATAATGTTGCAAACACTCGGGTCATGTTTTGGAAGCCGTTTCACCAAAGAATATTTAAAACATGTACAGTAGTGTGCCATTTGCCACCTAATGCGAAGCCAAGGTAATATGCAGAATAAATATGAATTCAGTATCTTTACAATTATTCGTTTGAAATTTAAAATCATATTGATTACCTAGTTCATACAGTTGGGGTCATGTGGTAGTATTAATATTATTCCGTATCGTTACTGTCATTCCAGTATTATTTTATTTAGAATATAAATTATTATGGTTTGGCGTTGCTTTCTTAATTTCTTCCATTCTGCGGCACTTGCCGTCATCGGTTTTACGATATTACATTGTATTCTTACATTGTACGATTATTTACGACATTGTATTCTTAATATTATCCTTATTACAGTTACTGGATGCCAGTTCCCTGCCGTCGATTTCACTTTGCTCCTGTTCTAAAAGATGTAGCCGAAGTTCATGGCGTACTAGCTGCGGCTTGCAGACGCTCATTGACAACACAAGACTACACTCAGCGGCCACTTAAGGCAGACTCCTTGGCTTCTATTCAGCTCTATCACCCGTCTGGAGGCAGAGATGGAGACCAAGGGTAATGTTCCCCCGCTCACATTCTTCATCCGCTTAGGACACAAGCATGTTATAGATTTGGCTTTAAGAATTGGTTCTTATTCCAATTTATTGTTTATGTATATATTGCTTTGTTGTATATACCCGTTCTTGGTATATGTATTGTTTATATTATCAAGATTTATAGTGTTTCGTATTATCTCTGTTTATAGTTGCTTTGTGCTTCCTTGCTGTTCTACTGGCTTTCTCCCACCTTTGCTCCTAGCAAAGGTACTTCCCCCTTCCGTTTGCTGGAAGATTCTTGGAATTGTTAGCCCCCTTCATTGCTACAGTATAGTTATTCGGAAAACTCTTATTCATCCAGGATTGTTAATTAAGGAATCTCTTAATTCCTGCTGCTGGGCCCCCTCCCCCCGTTTTTCGTCTCCATATCGATTCAGCTAGGGTTTACCTCTCGTCTGTGCTCTTGCCTGTCACGATAACACTGCATGCCGCTTCTGCCCACCCTTACTGCCTTATATCTTTCAGCCAGGGGAAGGTGATCTACGCGACAAATAATCCACGCACGCTCCGACTGGACCAGGTATCGCTTACATGGTCAGGTATCAACACTCTTCGGATCCTACAAGCACAGCGCAGGACGCACGCATACCCTAGCCCAGCGAGCGCCCCCCGGCAAGTTCTACCCGGCCCGTGCCCCAGTGAACAGGCAACACTTCTTCAGGGCGATTAATTCGCGCCACCCTCGCAGAGCTAGGCTCGATTTCAGCGGACCACGCCCTCTTGCCTTTAGAATTGACAGGGCCACTCGGCTCTCTTGACGGGCTCGCTATTGGAGATAATGGCGGGTCCAGCAACCAGCTGGAACCCCCAGCTGACTACGTCCGGGACGTTGTTGCTCTGCCACTCTGAGGCCTCCTTGCAGCCAGCGGGCCTCGCCCTTCGGGGGGGGGGGGGGTGCAGCCAGCCAGCTGGCCTGCGGCGGGGGTGCAGCGCCGGTCCCCAATTGTCCCGCTGTCCGCAGCTAATCCTTTGCCCAGTCTAGGTGCTAGCAAGTCAGGAAACGCTTCTTATTCCTTGGCGGCTGGCCTCACGTCCTGGGAAAAACTTCTCCCATTTGTCATATCAGTTTTCCCCAGTCACTAGGTATTTTCTGCCCGCCTGTTAATTCTAGGATTTCCCATTATGTCTTGGTAGGGCTCCGTTAAGTGTTGTCTATACACTTTATTTCTCCTTTGTGTCCTGACTGTTATACCTAGTTCTAATTATATATAAAGTCTTAAACAAAAGCTTCACACAATAGTTTTTTCAGTAAATATTCTGAGGTAATTAGCAGCACACTTAGTTGGAGACAATAGCACAAGACTTGGCTAAAAACATGTACCGAGTACAGTATGTATATTATACAAGGCCAAGACAAATATTCCTATCTACAGATAGTGAGGTTTCTCCTTTTAAATAACTTTAATAACATGATTTGAATGTTGTTGTTCAGGGGCGATGACACCCATGGGTCAGATACACTCCATTTCCCATCTGAATGTTTCCTGCTGTGCCTGTATGCAATCTCCTGCTTATGTCAATTTTTCCCCTTCCTGTTTTTTTTCTGTGTTGCGTATTTTTGGGGTTTTAATCACTTTTCTCTAAAGATATTTAAACTAAACTGTTATATATAAAAATAACAGTATTGGATTTATTAATTATCTTTTTGATCCACTAGTTCGGCTTTAGGTAGCAATTTTCACCAGAATAGGGGTTTGTTTTGGAATGCTTACCTTTCTGGATGCTTGACCCAGTTTTTCCTTATCTGCTGTAATGTAAAATTGCTACATTGTTGGGTATGTTAGATATACAGTGTTTAGTGAGTTTCATATTTATTTAGTAGTCCTGGATACAGCAGTGTCGTAGACGTTGAGACGGAGCTTGGAGCAGAGCAGAGAGCCAAGTGTGGCCGGAATCGCGGAGCTCTGTGAAAGAGCATTGTAGCTCGATGCAGTCCTAGTCTGCTGTCTGTTCTGTGTCGAAGCTGTAACATCTTGGAGATGATCAGAACTGCCTACACAGTGTTACATTCTTGACTGGAAATTGTACTGTTGATTATTCACAATTCGCTTGGTTATATTCGGTGACTACACCTCAGCTTCCTCCAC